TTTGATAGTTTTATCTATCGCAGCTTTTGAGTAGTGAGCAGTAAATCTTCTTTTATTTTTTTCACTTGAAAACAGAGATGATTTTTGTTTAAGTGGCACACCCTTCGACCGCTTTCACGCACTCTGAATAGTAACATTCATGCAAGAACGATGCGATGTTTATGCTAAATTTGAAGTGTTGATAACTTCATCATTTTTGTGGCCTCACATTGAATAGACGCGCAGACGGACAGACGGACATGGTCTAATCGAATATTTGATTATTCCACCCGTCCGTTCAAAACATTTGTTTATAAGTTTATGATTGCACAAAGAAGTAAAATTGATACAGGAATCCAAAACAAGAATAGCAAGAAGAAGAAAAATGATAGGTTATGGGTGACTTTTTGCAATTTTGTAAGAAACATTTGGGAATTTTTGTAACGCATTTGTTGTGCTTTATGGGTAGTGAAGAAAAAAAACCAGAGATACACATTTATATGCTGTAAATAGTTGGTAGTATCTACATATATACATATACATAATATTTATATACTTGTATTTATTGCTAAGCTTTTCATTCTTTTAAGCCTTGGTACTCTTGCCAAATGTACGTAAGATATATAAATATGCATCGGAGATGCCATTAACACTCTCGGCCAGCGGGAAAATCGTTTTAGTCATCTATTTGTCTATTTGCTGATTGATTATAATCTCATAAGATGGTAAGTAAATCTTGCATATTTTTCATTCAGTTTATCAAATTATCTTAAAAAAGCAGTTAGACTAGTTGAACCGATGGCTTTCAGTATTCCCATAATATATAATAACAAATTTTCTATAGAATATATATTTTCGATTTAATAAGATGCTTTGATGAAGCCCTGGATAGGGCTCCAGTAACTTTAAAATAAATATAAATAATTCCCTCTGTTGGAATATATCGAAGAAGAGACATATATCAAATGAATAGCATCTTCAACTTGTTTTCATATATATATTATTTATACGCACAAACATACCTTTGCATCGAACGAGCCGTCTTGGATGAGTGATCATCTAAAAAGAAAGCAAAAAACAAAACAATTAGTTCATGATAAGTACAATGCAACTCAGTTCAAAGTGAACATAGGGTTCGTCATTTGATATCAAAAATTTTTAACCCTAACTCTAGCATGATTTGTTGTTGTAACATATTTAAATTTTGAACTTAAGTTTTTTGATTATTTCACATTGCATTTGCACAAAACCCATATATGGCCTGTGGTATGTTTACATATGTGTTTTAAGGTCACATCGTGGAATAATTCGTTATAAAAACGCATAGTTACGATTAGGATTGAAATATATTACGTCACTGTCATTGTCATAATTATTGAATATGTAAATATATTTGAATTTTCATATCTAGCAGGTGCTGATTTTATTCTCACCGTAAATTGTAGTGTGTTGTGCATACTTTGTTGATTCTTAATAATATTACAACGGATCATTATTGAATATATAAATCTGTTTGGGGACTTTGCCGTCTAGCATGTCGTTCCCTTATTCGCATTGTATACAGTGGGAATAAAATTTTAACACGCTATAGTCACCGTAATGCCAAAAAATGTAGGGTTAAAAAAAAAACTTTGCGAAAAATAAACAACGTATAGCAGATGTCGAATTAAGCTTACAGTTACACTACTTTTTCAAGCCTTTTCAGAGCTTAGATTCAAAGTTCTGTATAGTCCAACCAAAATATTCCAACTTTTCCTATATAATCGAACAAAGTTTGAAAGGAAAAAATTGCACTCATTAGAAAGTAATTCTAACATATTTTTTTACGATTCTTAGTTTCCTCTTTTATTCCATGGTTCATCAAAAATTCTATAATGACATCATAATTACACATATGCACAAATACTTATAACACTTTATTTCAAAAGAATTTAAATAAAACGTTTTCATATTATTAAAATACCATGAATTTTGTAGCGTTGTTCTCATTCATGAACATGAACAACAAACAATGCACGATGAAAACGTATTCGTTAGCTGCAGTGCAGACCATGGAATTTATGTTCAGCAATTACATTTAAGTTGTAACAAATTCTCCGGAAATACATTCATGTGGAGTGAAGTCTTTTTTTCTTTTTCTTTACCGTATTAGGCTGATATGTGTTTGGGTAAAAATCTTACAAATGTTATGCCATAGAATAGGAACAGCAGCAGCAATAATCTCAAATATCAAAGTATATGAATTGGAGTTACATAAACTGCTAAGATTAGCAAACTATGCACACTACACGGATCATTCAGAACAATGCGTATTTCAATACAATGCGTATTTCAATATGAACGAATGAACGCCTTGTGTAAATTGTGTGACATTAAGATTCTATAAAAATGTTGTTAAAGGATTGAAAGTTTAATTTTTTTGAAGTTTAACTGCACGTTAAAGTAGTAATACAATGATGTTAAGAGCTTCACCATAATCTTGAAAAATGAAGAATTTTTTTACGTTGTAGAGACTTGAAGAACAATAACTAGTAAACAGTGATAGAGATGCAGTAGCACCGCAACTGGATTTTTGGTGGGTATCAAAGTTTCCCCCAAAAGTGAAGATACTTTCTTGTTGTGTTTAATGCATTGCTTGTAATCCGCCTGAGTCGCCGAGTAGGCAAATCAATTCAAAAAGCGCTAATTCATTCATTCTGAATACAAAATGAATGAACGAAAGCAAATATATTATGTATCTACGCTCAATGACTTAAACAACATACACAAGCGAGCAAATAGAGAGCGAAGAAATAGCGGCAAAGTGAATATAACAGAGTGGTCAGCTGTCAGTTATAAAGGCCTAGCAGCAGTCCAGTCATAAGTCAGTCATTCCTTAAGCAAGACAGTCATTCAAACGCACACATATTGTATTGTGGGATTATTTTTACTTTTTCCTTTTCATTTAACCCTTACTTTTATGTTCCAAAGAAGGAGTAGAAAGAAAACGAAAACTTACTAAATTATCGCATATAACTAATACTTTTTTTTCGGCACGTGCTTTACATTCGATTAAAGTTGCATTCACCCTAAAGAGTTTTAAAATCAATTTTAAGGGAATTTGTTTGTTTTCTTAACTCTTACTTATAGAAAAGAAAAAAAGAAAAGCTTTTTATATTCTAATTAGAATTCTTGAAGAATAACGAGAGTTTAAGATTCAAATTCTGTTGATGCGATCGCTTATCAGCATATGAACGGGCAGTTTCTTCCAAAGGATGCTATTTCTACTTCCAAGTTTTATTCTGCGGATAAACAGAGAGTATTGGAGATTAGAGTGCTTTGAGTGCGTTGCGCAAGAACCGACTACTATTAAAAGAGACATGGAGTTCCTCTAAGAAAAGCTATTTACTTTCTAGCTAAACTCAAGCTCAAAGCTTGACAATTACTTTAACACTGGAAGTACCGTGCAGATCAATACGGCCCTTTTGAACTTATAAGCTTAAAAGAAAAAAATGGCTACATAATGCGAAATAGATTTGAGGGCTTTCATTTATATGAAAAGATCATTAAATACCCATAACTAGTTTCTCTCTACCTGTTCTAACTCGCGAGATGCCAATGACGCGTACCAATTTCTACGGTTACGGGCCATGAAATCGCGAGAGTCACAAAAATGAAGGAATAAATTCCAACAAATCAAAATTTTATCTTTCATTAGCAAGCCGACCGAGACTATTTTAGATTGTCTCACTTTCTAATCTATTTTGTGAAGGCTTATGTGGGCAGATCACAAACATTTTCGAATCTTAAATTCTTAATCTATCACATATCACGTTTGCAAGTTTAACAATGGCCCACAGATTATAAATCAAAACGACCCTTAACGGTAGATATTGTTACTGTCAAATTCACAGACAACTACTTACCACAAGCTCTTTCTAAAAAGCTGTTAAGCGTTAGGCGATCGTAGCGACTCATAAAATCATATTTTCTAACCGCCTTGCATAGATTTTTAAATGAACATTTGTATATATTACTAGTATATCGTATATTTCCAACTAGATTGCTAGGACTCAGTTACTGCTGCTATTGATTGATTTATAAATATATATATAAAATATCGTTTAATCCAAAATTAACATTCACTTTAATTGTGAGTTCAATTTTGTGTTAATTGCTAAACTAATTCTCTTCAATTTCATAGAATTGCATTGTAAGATGCTTAGTCTCATTGACACAAGGCACCGCTGTCTGTCTCTGTTACTTATTATTACTACTTTAATAGGCGAATTTTTAACATTTCTCTTAAACATCAGACAAATAGATCGAGGCGATTATATTCACTTTACGAATTCATTCATTTTACATTTTCAATAATTTTTTATAAATATGATGCAATGATGCATTAACAGTTTCCCATTTTCATATGTAATTAGCCAACGGCAATCTCTAATTGCTACGTCTGCTAAGGTCACAGTATTATATAAATGAAATGTAAATAAAAATAAAATGTAAATTAAACATAATATCGTAGATAATTTTCACATGTTACTTACAGAAATTCTCAAAATATTTTTCTCTCTAAGATACACATTAATCAAAGTTGCCCTTTACCAAGTTTAATAGATGAATACATAAGAGAGTGAAAAAAGTAAGAGAACAAAAAAGAGCAATAATGCCATTATGAGATTTACATACTCTTTAAACATTTATGTTATATGCGCAGTTTTTGAAGTTGAATTGTACTTACTTCGGGAGCATAAAACGAATAATAACAAATGTGCCAAGATGCTAAAATATCGATACATATATATATATATGTGTGAATAGCATACCAATGCAGCAACGAAAAAGAACAATCATAACAAAACAAAACGAAAAAATTGCAAAAAAAAAAGGAAAAACTTCACCAACGTAGCGAAATAACTTTGTGCGAATTATTTCTTCAAAACGAAGGTACACTAATGAAATCAATGCAATGCTTTAGTAGATACGTTAGCTCAAAGGGTTGCGCATGTAACGGACGGTTTATTGTGTCGAATATAAGCAAAAAAAAAAAAAATGAATATTTATCGCACGAAAGTATGCAAACAAATTTTGTGACTTATATACTGTTTCGTTAGATTGCCAGATATATATAGAGCCTGCGTTAGATAACAGACAGATGCATGTGATTGATATGAGTTGAAAATTCATTAATAAGATCGATAAACTTATCAAAGTTCATTATTAGTGTTAATGTTAAAAATGTGAAATTTGAAATTCTCTATCCTTCTTATATAATCGTAGTCAAAAAGGCTATGCTTTTTTCAATATAGCAAACACACAGGTCAAATGAAAATGTTTCTTAAGAAATTTAAATAAATTAAATAATGACTATATTTTCTAATGTTATTCAATCTTAAATAAAGATAAATTGCAAAAATGGAAAAATCTAGAAGAGCGTCGTAACTCTCCTACAAGTAACGAAATGTTGTGCAACAACGTGTCGCCAAAAGCATAAACATTTTGCATTGAAAAATTGATTTTAAATCTTTAAAATTATGTTGATTAGAAAACTTGATTCATTTACGAAAATAACCACCCAGACTGGGTCGGTTAACAGGTAACAGGTAAGAAAATATTCTATGTTGTTTATGGTTCTCTCTTTGCCAACATTATATTTGTTATTCTAACTTTAGCCAAAAATAATTGTAATTTATGGGTAAAAATTGTGAATTTTGTTTTGCTCGCCCCACTGCCTCCCGCCCCCCCTCTTTATCATCTTTTATAACAATAGCAAATGGCAAAAGTTGCCTGAACATAGGCCATGATAATAATAATAATAAACCGCAGACATGTATACGACGTAAATGTCTTTTTGACTCTACCTGCCTAACTATATATATGCTAAGTTATTTTTTGCATACTTTAAGGAATTTATGTAGTTACTACAAACACATACACCTAACCGACTTGCACATTTGAACAGAGAAACTAACTCTCGGTAATATTTTAGTGGTCTCCCCCAAATAAGCGGTTTTCCTTTGTCATTATGTATGCAAGTTGGGTTACGGTGTATGCTTTTATATATATATATATATATATATATATATAGTCCAGGATATCTTTGGATACGTTTATATAAGTATGTACATTTATATACTTAAGAGTGTTGGTTGAGGAAACTTTTATAACATAGTTGAGTGAAGGGGAACAAAAAAAGCTACGAAGCAAGTTATGTTAAAAAATATGTTCTTTTATAATATTTACATTTTCACATAAATAGCAAAATATATGCAGCACGAAGGGGAGGGAAAGGTATCCAATATTTTTTTTTTATTTTTTCTCTTTGAATTTATTAAGTTTCCATTGAATGTGGTAAGAAAATTTAATTAAAAGTTTATATCATCACTACGAAACCTTAGCTTCATACTAATTGTGTTGTCACGCTTGTGAATGCCCATACGGCTAATAATATTGATTTGGATATATCTGTTCCTTTTGTTTATTGATCAAGCTTTTCTTCTTCTTCTGTTTTTGATAAAGAGCCGCATTTAGCACAAAAGAAACGATCTGTTCTCCAATAAATTGCTTTCTTTAATGCATTTCAATGATAGAAACAACTCTTCTCCAGCAATAAAATTCTGTGGGATATCATAATCATGTAAACCACCCGCTCTATAGTAAGTTGTTCAAAAAGAACTGTTAAATAATATGTATGGCATAACATATATATATATATATATATTGTATAAGAATTCACACGCAACCTATTTATTGAGTTATCATTATCATTTTGAAAGCTTAACATGCATAGGCAAGCTTAGTATAGCTCGTTCCAAAAGTCTACGTAATAACATGGTAGATATTGTTGTTAAGCTAGTGAACGATTAAATCATTAGCTTTCGTGATTTGGTTATATCCTTGAATATCTTCAAATAAATCCAATAGGTTTTGAAAATAGAAAGTAAAAATTTGAGAACATTCTTGAGGAGACTATTAAGAGAAAGACTAATTAAAAGTTCATTTCAGCTAATCAAGATTAAAAATAGTTCATAAGACTGTCGGGGTTTGTTACATAACGATTTTAAACGTAACTCAATTAATTCAGCACATAATTCCATTCCGATAATATCAGCTGCTACTGTTCGTCTTACTTTAATCCAAGAATTTCTCTCTTTGGACGAAGAGTAGAAACCCTTTTTTATATAATTTTGTAAGAGAAGCAGTACCTAGATTAGGTTATATTAAGGGCGCAGAACTTTTTTTTTTTTTTTGTTTACAATAGGAATGGTGAATGGAACATGTTGCGCATGAAACTTGGTTCAAGCGTAGAAATTCTTTCCAATACTTATTCAGCTAGAAAACTTATATATAAACATTTGAATTAAGAAGAACAGATATAAATTATTATTGGGATTTTCTAATTCAATATAAATGAGAAGGTTACACATAACTTCCGATAAGGAAAACAAGAAAGTAGGTGAAAGGGAGACGAAAGAAAAACAAAGGTTACGAAACTTGAAAGAATATGCATATAGGTAAGAGTGAACTAAAACATTGGATGGAGAAATGAAAATGACGACGATACGATGCGGCTGAATTTTGAGACAAAAACTCAGATAGGGAGAATACGGTTTTCATGTATTATTTAAATCTCTCTCAATGATACTCATGGGACTAGCATGCTCGAGATTCTACTTGGATAAATTAAGTTTAGCGAGAGGGTAACTTTTGACGGTTCTACAAAGAACATTTAGATTAATTTCATTGAAAAGTGCTAACGAAACAATTTCACCATTTCGTAACGTGAACGTAAAGTTTAAGTATAAGATTCGCGTACGCTTGAAAAGACAAAGCATATCGATAAGTAAAAGTCTATACGCATACTGTGAGAAATTTCGACTCGGATCGCGCTTACATGACATGATTAGCAAGCTTTTTACTAATATTTTAACCAGTGAAGTACTTTTCTGTTAAGCTGTTAAGTTTTTGTTAGTTACTCTGCTAATAAAATTCTGCATCGAAAATTAAATTTTCCACATCACTGAATAAAACTTTTTTTTTTTTTAAAAAAGATTTTGTTTAAGTTGTCGAAAATAAATAAACTTTGACCTTGCCGACTATATATTTATATGATATCAATTTCATATATACACGTATGTGCACGCATTTATGAATATTTACATAAATGCACCTGTTACGGAAAAAGTTAAGAGGCTATTTACTGCCCTGTAGACAAAAATTTTGCAAACATTTCTACAAATACTGTATACAATGGGTATAAATATTCTTTTTTTTTTTTTTTTTGCACTAAAGCTTTACGTACATAATAAAACACGCAAATATTTCGTAATACTGTGTGATAATAATAAATAAAAAAATAAATAAAAAGCATATATTTTGCAAGTTTTTTGCATATAAATAAATATTTATAGAGATTTTCAATATAAGCGCAATAAAAAAAAAAAAAAAAAAAACTCAAATGTGAAGCATCGGTCAGACTTTTAAATCCATTGCGGAAAAAATGACAAAATAGGTAAATAATTAAAGCAAAAAAAAAAATTATAAAATTCGGTTAACAATTATTGAAAAGATTTCATATGACAAGTATGATAATTCATTTAAACAGTGATTTTCTTGCGGATAAAAAAACATTGAAAGAAAAAACTCATTTGCAAACAAACTGAATATCATTTCACAAGATTTCAAATACTTATAAATGTCATCATAAAAGTCTTTGGTATCGTTATCATCAAAATGACAATACAAATTGGATGAAGAGGAATAAGAACATACTCATAAGATAGGTGGAGTAGTAAGTGATAAATTCTTTTGAAAGTCAATAGCAATTGTTGTGTCGACACTCGATAGCAGAAACATCACTTGTCGCTGTCAAATTGTCACATGAATACATATGTTAGAGTCGAGAAGAAAGATTTTTCAAATTTTTTGACTTCAAGAACAACCTACGCACGTGCATATCTCAAATCCATTTGTTCATTTCATGTAAGTTAAACAAAAAAAAGTTATGTGTACATATATGTATATAAGTATATATATATTTATATATATATATTTATATTTATATTTATATCAATGTATATGTTTATATATGGATATGCATATAAATATGCAAAATGCATATATAAATATATATAGGTGTGTATATGTGCTGCTGCTGCTGCTGCTAAGGTGAATATGAATCAAACGAGATGAACATAGTTCAGCGTAGTATTTCAAACAACTTTCATATAACAGTAAACTTATAACTGAAGAAGGCAATAAGTAAACAAGCAAAAAAGTAAATACGAACACTATAGCCGGGCAAGGCCAACCATTCATACATATTCTATACCACTTTCATCACCAAAATTACACAGTATTCTTCTGCAATGGCATATTTTTCTTGACAGCCTTCATATTGGATGACGCTCAAATACCACATGGCATGATCCAAATTTAAAAAGCTTCATTTACTTGCAAAAAAATTCCATTATTTTTCTGTTTCCGTCATAAAAAAACTAAAAGTTAAAATTTCTCCCCATATAACGGCTTGGTTTCGATGATAAACCTTATGTTTGTTGCGATCTAAGAAAGAGGCCTATATATGGTCCAAATTCCCTATCGTTCATTTTCTTGCTAAATTGCTACTATTGATCAATTTTCGTCAAAATATATTAAAAATTAAACATTTTTCTGAAGGGCTTACTATTCATATGAAATTTTATATGGGGGAGGGACCAAGAAGTAGACCCAAATAGTTCACATTTGCTACCATGAATAAATTTTCATCATAAAACATTAACAATTAAGACTTTTTGGCATATACGGGATTACATATCCTGAGAATCCTTATAGATGACGGGTACCAAAAAATATACCTACGTGGTCCAAAATCGATAAGGTTGGTTTCTTTGTGAATTCACTATTAAGAAGCAATTTTCATCATAAAATATTGACCATCACACATTTTTACCATATAAGAATCCAGTTGTCGTAGCAATGGTGATATGAGAGAGGATTCAGAAAATTTCCCCAGCCGAACCAAACTGTTCATATCAATTTAAAACGTTAAAATTTTGAAAATCGTCATTTTTTTTCCTTATTTCGAAAAGTCTTAACATGGGGTCAGTTTTAGCTCTCTAATTTTTCTTTGGAGACTTGGACAACTCGGAGAAAAGCAAATCGATTAGCAGCAATTTTTGAAGAAAACTAATTTTGTGATCGTCATTACTAATTTTTGAATATATATTTTTGAATTTCGTATATCACCTTAACGTTGAATTTCATATTGTTACAACCCGCACCAAAGAGATGAAAAGTATATCCATTTGTTAAAATGTTTGCAACACAGCACAAAGCAAACCTCAGAGATTATATAAAATACCTATATTCTTGATCAGCATCAAAATCTGAATGGATTTAAGCATGTCCGTCTGTCCCTCTGTCTAATGCAGGAAGCTTGTCTCATCTCTTTCACAGGCTTTGCCTTTAACTAGGCAGGCTATTACACGGTAACGTGTAAAAGTCTAGAGATCTTATAACTTCTAATACCATATACACCGAGTCTATTACAGTACCTTATTTATTATACTTTGTAAGTTCTTTGGTCCTTCATCATTCAGCT